GGGAGGAAAAGAAAGGGAAGGGAAGAAAATAGAAGGAAATGATTTGTATTAATTTTGTTTGGATAAATAAAAATGAGGAAGGGGAAGGGAAGGGAAGGATTGTATTATTTTATGTTTGGATAATTAAAGTAAAAGGAAGGGAAGGAAGGAAAAGATTTAAATTAATTTTAAATTTACAAATTTATCCTTTAAACTTGTAATGGAAAAGGATATAATAAAAAAATTAAGGTTAATTTTGTAATTATATTTAACCTAATCTAAACAGTCACACAAATCCCTCCCAAACCCCCCAAATCGGGCGGATTGCAAATCTGCATATTTGAGGGTGGTTGGAAAGAGTCCGAATCAGTTCATCTCCCTCCCCCTATGCCTCTTTGGAAACCCAAACAAGAGGAAGGAGGCAACGCCCCCGCTCCCCCTCCCTTGCCATCCGTCCCCATCCCTTCCCCTCCCTCTCCGTCTGACACCTCCAATCCAAACAATACCTAAGTGTATTGTAAATTTACAATACCAACCGCAAACGATCCTTGCACAAAGATGTAATAACCGCCAGCCCCAACTTTGTCCCGCCTGAGCCAGTGCTCCTAGCATTTCTCTTGATTTTCTTGCAATACCAAAACCGGTTTCCATTTCTCTTGATTTTTGATTTTCTTGCAATACCAAAACCGGTTCCCATTTCTCTTGATTTTCTTGCAATACCAAAACCGATTTCCATTTCTCTTGATTTTTTATTTTCTTACAATACCAAAACCGGTTTCCATTTCTCTTGATTTTTTTGCAATACCAACCGCAAACGATCCTTGCACAAAGATGTAATAACCCCCAGCCCCCACTTTATCCCCTCGTGGCTTTGCCTATAAAAAAAAGGCATATCCACTCTATACAAACTAACCTATTCCTTTGTGATGCTCTGTTTTCCTCAGGAGAAGAGCATGGCCTCATACGGTGTCGTTATTTTCCATTTCCTCTTCTCCATCGTCCTTTTTTCAAGCATTGTTGATGCTGCCGGTTTGATAGGAGTGAACTACGGCCGCGTGGCCAACGATCTACCCACCCCAGATAAGGTGGTGGAGCTTCTAAAAACAGAGGGGATAGACAGAGTTAAGCTCTACGACACCAACACGGAGGTCCTCACAGCCCTGGCCAACTCAAATATAAGCGTCGTGGTTGCCCTTCCCAACGAGCTACTCTCCTCTATAGCCGCCAACCAGTCCTTCGCCGATAATTGGGTCCAAGCCAACATCTTGAAACACTATCCCGCCACCAACATTGAAGCAATTGCAGTCGGAAATGAGGTCTTCGTCGACCCCAACAACACCACGATGTACCTCGTACCCGCCATGAAGCACGTTTACAACTCCCTCGCGAAGTGTAACCTCGATTCCGCCATTAAAATCTCCTCCCCAGTTGCTCTCAGCGACTTGCAAAGCTCATACCCCCCTTCATCCGGGTCGTTCAAATCCGAATTGATTCAACCAGTAGTCAAACCCATGTTGGATTTCCTCCGCCAAACCGGATCATATCTCATGGTCAATGCTTACCCCTTCTTTGCATACTCGGCCCATTCCGACACTATCTCTCTAGACTACGCTCTGTTCAGGAATAACTCCGGCGTTGTGGATTCCGGCAACGGGCTGAAGTACTACAGCTTGTTAGAAGCCCAGCTGGACGCTGTTTTCACCGCCATGTCCGCACTCAATTACAACGATGTGAAGATGGTGGTAACGGAAACAGGGTGGCCGTCGATGGGGGACGAGAACGAGATTGGCGCAGGTGAGGAGAACGCGGCGGCGTATAACGGGAACTTGGTACGCAGAGTTTTGACCGGAAGTGGCACCCCCTTGAGACCACAGGATCCACTCAACGTCTACCTATTCGCCCTCTTCAACGAGAACGAGAAACCGGGGCCCAGATCGGGGCGGAATTACGGGTTATTTTACCCGAACGAGAACAAGGTGTATAACATACCTTTAACCCAATCGGAGCTCCAGAGCGGGGAGTCAACGCCGGTCAGCGGCGGGAACAAGAGTCAGGCTCCGGCCTCCAGAGTCCGGGTCAGTGTTTGGTTGTGTGACCCGAACACGCTCGAGGTGCAGGTTTCGTACCCCTTCAACAGTTTTTCCGGCGTAGAAATTCGCCTTAAACTGTCATTTTCAGAAGAATTCTCGTGGCGCTGGCACGTGCGATTTTGGTTTTATGGTATGTTTTTATATATTTAATTTTTTTTAAAGTAGTGTATTTGTATGTTAATTGTGTTCACATGATAT